TTTCACATAGGAAGACCTATAATAAAATCAAGGACCTATATTTCTGGCCTAGTATGTCTCTCAGTAGTAGTAACCAGTTACCAGTAACCAGTGTACCAGTAGATGACTCACTACCAACCGTCTCTGCCTGAGTCACTGTCTGTATTCATATTGTGCTGACCACAGCAGTATTCAAAGACTCCCTCACATATGGGTACTGTGGGCGGCCAGTCAGTCATACGAGAGTGAGCAAGGAGACAGGCCGGCTGTTTGGGCGCTACCCACATTATCCATAATTATACGTACTACCAGCCTACGTGAGTATTACTTTACCCTATCCACGTGTTCGAACTCCCACATGATAAATGGTGGCACCGGTGTGGAGCGTGGATTTAAGTTTTTACGGGTAATTCAAGACGTTAGAAGACTGTTTGTGAGTAGCCGCCAGGGTCAAAGGTGAACCGTCTCACCCACCAGCTACTCGCTCCCCTCACAACCTCCACCTCCAGCCTGCAAGCCTGTTGCAGCCGTTTTTTTCAAGCTTCCTGGCTTAGTTCGTGTGCTAATTGCTTCAATCTCCGAGGGATTGACCCGGATTTTGCAATTAAGCCAGTCAGTAAGCCAGACTGTGGAAGTGTACGCCAGTCAGCCTGTCATCCAGCATGTCTCCTGTCATCCACCTGCTCCTCCGTGCTGTGTGCATCGTTACACGTCTTCCAGTCAGCCATTCTCGTGGGTTAAGCCAGTCAGCCAACCCAGCTTCTAACCCAGCTGAGAGAGAGAAGTAAGCCACGCAGTAAGAAGTAAGCCAAGTTCCTCTGAAGTATTTTCATATCGCTTTGTGCTCCCTGTTGGATGCTAAGAGTGGTCTTCACCATCCCTGTGGCATAGTGGCTTATCAAGCCACCTTCGTGGGTAGTGAGTGGTGTGCGCGCCAGTGAGCGCCAGCGAGAGTCACACCCACCACCACCACTCTACTCACATCACCCCACCACCACCACCACCAGCCATCCACCCATCTACCTGTGGTTGTTTGCACCCTTGTACCGGGTCCTAATACTGTTTTGGCTCACATAATTGGTCAAGAGATTGTAGCTGAGCGCCGACGATAAAGCCAATTATGCGAGTTCACCGAGAGAGCGCATTTCTTCACGACGACAGTGTGAGTGTCGGCGTCATCACCGCGCAGGACAACCTTCCTCGTCACCAGTCATCACCGTCGACTACTACAGACTTCAGTGATAATTTTCTGTTTAGAGACATTTTTCTTGCATTTAAAGACATTTGCGTGTGTGAGACATTGATAGTGAATTTCTTGTGTACTCTAAACCTTGTGTTTTCAGTGTAGACTCAGTGTTTCTTTGACTCGTTATTTTTGCAATATTTTTCAGTGTTTTCGCTCATCTTATATTTTTTTTATCTGTGTTTTTTTTTTATGCTACTCTCTGTCTGTAGTAAGTATTATTGTGTAGTGTACCAGTCAGTCACTCTGTGTGAAGTGATTCATTTTTTTTTGTATTCTTTCAGCATTGTATTCTCCAGTAATTTTCATTGTATTTCATGCAGTGATATTCACCCCAGTTTACCAAATTATCCATTTACAGTGGACCCCCGCTTAACGATCACCTCCAAATGCGACCAATTATGTAAGTGTATTTATGTAAGTGCGTTTGTACGTGTATGTTTGGGGGTCTGAAATGGACTAATCTACTTCACAATATTCCTTATGGGAAAAAATTCGGTCAGTACTGGCGCCTGAACATACTATTGGAATGAAAAAAGTTCGTTAACCGGGGGTCCACTGTATTTCTATGTGTACCTTTTTTTCGTATGCCAGCAGTGTCTCATTCCTCTAATTTTTTCGCAGACTGTGTACCATTATTTTTGCCAGCAAATTTTTGTCGTATCAGTCACAGCAAGATTTTGTTGTAAGAATATACTAAGATAATGAATACGTGATTAAGTGTTGTGTGCCCTGCCACTTGTAAGTGTTACACTTCCCGTTTTGTTCCTTTGTTTTATTTTTATTCATATTTTTATATTTCTTTGAACAAATTCACTCTTGATGTAATTTCAATTACTTTTAACGTAAAGTGTTTTCTTTACTCTGTTTGAGTAAATTGTTTTGTCTAATTTCCAATTAAGAGTTAAAGTGTTCAATCAGTTTTTTCTTCATATTTTTATTTCATTATTTAACCTGAGTTTTCCCAGTGACACTTTATTATTGCAGTGATTATTTCTACACCTTATTTGTTGCACTTGTTCTGCAGTGAATTATTTTGTTGCACTTGTTCTGCAGTGAATTATTTTGTTGCACTTGTTCTGCAGTGAATTATTTTCTTTTATTGATATTTTTATGCATTATTATTCTCAGTTCATTATTGTTTGAGTCTTGTTTTTTCATTTTATTTATTTTCTTGATGTTATCTTGGTATTATATTTTAATTTTGTTTATGCATTCTTAGAAAATATTTAAATATCCCATATCCCAGTTAATAATTTAGTAATTTTATTTTATACTTTTTACATTCATTTCAAATTTTATTAATTAATTCCTTTATTAGCAAGAGTAAAGACAGCTCATTTTGCATTTAATTCAGTCTCCAGTAATATTTTTACTTGTATATTTCAATGTAATTTTTTTTTCTTTCTTCTTGGCTAATAGTTCTTTACATTGAGTTGTCCTTCCTCTTGCAGTGTATCTTAGACATTTTTTATTACTTCTGCAGAATTAGTTGCATCTCTTTTATTTCAATTCTAGCATTTTGTATCATTTTTATTGTTCATTATTTTTGCCTTATTTGTTCTCGTGCAACTTTGCCATTATGTCTCACATACCGTCAAGTGATACTTTAGTGAATGTCGACACTCAGACCTCTCAGGCTACTGCTGCTCCTGTCATCAGTCCTCACAATTCCTTAGCGACTGACAGACCGACCCAGACACTGAGATACTATAGTTATACTCGTGATTCCCTTGATGCGTTACCTTTATTCAATGGCCATGTACATAGTCTTGAAGCATGGTTTACTGCCATTCGTTCTCGTGCTGGTGCTCTAGTTGAAGGTCCTCCTTCAGAGGAAAGTCTTATCAGACTTGCTAAAGAAGCTCTTCATCGGTCCCCTGCTGCTGTTCACGTTGTTGATCTCCTTGATATGCGAGACTTCAGGAATCTTACTAAGTGGTCACAATATGAGGAACTGATTCGTTCTTTCCTTGTCCCAGTGAAAACAGCTGATCCATATGTCGTTCTTAGGGAACTAGTGAATGCTACACCCATGAGTAATGAATCGTTGAGTGCATTTGCTGTTAGATTAGACAAACTTTTATCATCATTTATCAATGCTGTCCAGTCATCAGCTTTTCTCCCTGAAGAGGCTAAACCATTTACAGAATCACTTGCTAAAATAGCAGCTTTTGGAGCTTTTGGTGGTGGTGGTGAAGATTGTGGTAGATGGTGGTAGTGATGGTGGAAGAGGGTGGTAGTGATGGTGGTAGAGGGTGGTAGTGATGGTGGTAGAGGATGGTAGTGATGGTGGAAGTGGGTAGTAGTGATGTTGGTAGTGACTGTGGTAGAGGGTAGTAATGGTTGTGTGGTAGAGAGGGTGGTAGTGGTTGTGATGGTGGTAGTGATTGTGGTAAAGGGTGGTAGTGGTTGTGATGATGGTAGAGGATGGTAATAATGGTGGTAGAGGGTGGTAGTGACTGTGGTAATAGGTAGTAGTGATGGTGGTAGTGATTGTGGTAGAGAGTGGTAATGGTTGTGTGGTAGTGATGGTGGTAGTGGTTGTGAGGGTGGTAGAGGGTGGTACTGATGGTGGTAGAGGGTAGAGCTGCAAGACCTTCATCTGGCACAGCAACAAAGCACAGCTGAGAAAATTGCTTCAGAGGAGGAGGAAGAGAGAGGGGAGAATGTGCCTTCAGTAATTAAGGATGTTTGTGCAAAGTGGAGAGAGTTGCAAGGGTACAGTGACTCTCAAGCCTCTCTCCACCTCCTTATCTTCCATAAGTCAAGAAGGGTCTTCAATAAGGTATATAATACTGATATAATTGTTCATGTATTTATTTTATTTAGTTCTCATTGTTTTGTGTATGTAAAACTGTAATATTTAAAAAAATTATATTTTTTTGTGAATATTTTTGGGTGTCTGGAATGGATTAATTGTTCTTTTTTTTTCAACAAGTCAGCTGTCTCCCACCAAGGCAGGGTGACTCAAAAAGAAAGAAAATCCCCAAAATGAAAATACTTTCATCATCATTCAACACTTTCACCACACTCATACATACTCACTGTTTTTGCAGAGGTGCCCAAAATACAACAGTTTAGAAGCATATATAAAGATACAATATAAAAAGTGACCTGAAATTATATAATAAACTCACTATAAAATATAATATCAGGGCCCCAATTATATATATACATACCGTCTTTAAATGAATACTACTACTACTACTACTAATTTTTCGTTTTAGTAGACTATACAGGAAAAGGGGTTACTATCCCATTGTTCCTGATATTTTAGTTGACTTTTAAAACACGCATGCTTGTGGGAAATATTATTTCAGTTTTCAGCCATTTCAGTTTTAGGCCGAGCTTCTGGAACAAATTACGGCTGATAACCGAGGGTCCACTGTATTCCCAAGAATAGCTGAAGGAAGGGGTAAAGGTTTTGAGTGGTAGGGGCTTGCACATCTGGCAGGCTTGTGTATGTTGTGTATTGTGAACACAGTAACATTTATGTAAAGATTTAGGGAAAATTTGATATCTGAACGTGAATCCTGCAGGTGGGAAATGCAGTGCCTGCACTCTAATGAACGAGTGGGGATGTTGCAGACAGAGGGTCATGTGAAGTGTGATGTCTCTGCACTTCTAGCAAGACAGCTATTGAGTCAGTTTTTTTTTTTTTTTTTTTTTTTTTGAGGGTTCACCATACTCTAGTGAGAGATGATGGCCAGTGGTATAAAAACCGCACACATATGCTTCCCCATATTAATAATGTAGTATAATGACCTTAAATTACCTGGCACTGCCATAGAAAATCCAGTCGGGCTGTCCATTCCACTTGTCTCCCATGAGCTATCACTGCTAATAAAAACAGTAAGATGTAAACTACTCCTAAAACTTCTGTTGGAACCACTGCCCTGAAAAAAAAGAGAAAAAGATGGAATTTTAGTTTGAGCTTGTAGAGTAACAATAAAAATTACTACTTTCATACTTGCAGATGTGTGTGTTTAAGTATTTAATGTCACCTTCTATATTAACAACTAATTAAACTAAAGAAACTGTTAAGTAATATATATATTATAAAATATACTAAAATATACAGTGAACCCCCGAAAAGACTTTTCAATCTTCAAGTACCTGAAAAATTTTATGTATCACAAGAAAGTGCTGAATACCTACCAAGTATATTTTTGATGGCAGGTTCCCTACAGAAACAAATGGTAATGATTCATGCAAAATCTATATATGATAATAGGCTTTGCTTTACAGTGCTTTGCTGTGTAGCGTTTCACTAATACAGCAGTTTTCAATTATACCCATTCTTCATTTATTCACTATAAGCTAAAGATGAAAATGTTTTAAGGTAAATAATGTGTGCACTGTATATGCATTTTTTAGGCCTAGCTCTATTGCTCACATAACCCCTTGAAGGTCCAGACCCCCAATCTGAAAGTTCCCCATAGGATACAAGAATTAAAAAAAAAAAAAAAAAAAAAAAAATTATTTTTTATGAAATGGTAGAGAATCTTTTTCTGAAGGTAATAAAAGAAAAAGTGTGAAATTTGATAAAAAAAAAATATTGAAAAAATTATGCTCTTGCAAATTTTGCTGTGTCAACAATGTTTATGCAGTGGCGATTTTGCCCACTTTGAGTCCTATTTTTGGCCAATTACGATGTTCCATTAGACCAAAATCTTAGCTGTTTCACTGGTATGTGTTCTATTTTATCTATTGAGCAAAAGAAATCGCTCAATCAACTAATTCAACTACTAACTAAAATTATTGGAAATTGGTAATTTGACCAGTTTCACACCAAGTTCAAAATATTCCAGTTTCAATATAAGGTCCAGAATAAACAATGAAGGCATTCCTGGTACTAAAATAACATTTCCTCTGTTTATTAGTTATGTTTCCAGGCTTTACACATGAATTCCATTTTGATTTTTTATTCACAAAAATAATTTTTATTCACACCAATAAATAGAAGATTTATTGTTACGCAATATGATAATAATTGTAAAATAATATCAGTGCATTCGTGAACACACATTAGATCCACCAGCTGATGTGTATTGGACGTGTGATGTGATTTGTGTACTATTGAACATTGGCAAAAATCGAACATTTCCGCTACTTTGAGCTCAAATTCAAGCTATTTTCAGTACTAAAACAAATTAAAATCATTTCTATTTTTGTAATATATCTTCTATTCTATCAAATGAGACCACTTAACATCCAAAATCTCTCTCTCCTCTACACTCTTCTCTTCTCCAGGAGCATAAACACTTACCATAACCCACTTTTTGTATCTGACCCTTATTTTAATTCACACAGTCCTTGAATTTATATATTTATATTTCCTTTTTTCTTGCCATAACTGATCCTTCAACATTACTGCTACCCCTTCCTTAGCTCTCAGATACTCCTGACCTAATTCCATTTATTTTTCCCCACTGAAACTCTCCTACCACCTTCAGCTTTGTTTCACTTTGAGCCAGGCCATCCAGCTTCTTTTCATTCATAACACTGGCAGTCATCTCTTTCTAATCATCTGAAGTACATCCACACACTTTCAAACATCCCAGCTTTATAGTTTTTCTTCTTATTTTTAATACAGTAACTCCTTGACTTATGAACACACTGAGAATCTTCTGTACTGTGTATAATATCACTATTATATCATTATTATACACAACACAGGTCCCCAATGTGTTCATAAACTGGAGACTTCCTGTATTATGAATATCATCACAATACAAAAGATTCTTGGTGTGTTCGTAACTCAAGGTCTTACTGTAATTTATACAGGAGTTACTAGCCTTTTTTTTTTAACACGTCGGCAGCTTCCCGACGAGGTACTGTGACCCAAAAAGAAAAATCCATAATGAAAGAAAAAACTTTCACCATCACTCATATATAATCACTGTCTTTGCAGAGGTGCTCAGAAACGACATTTTAGATGTCACTCCAAACAGCCAATATCCCAAACACCTCCTTAAAGTGCAGGCATTGTGTACTTTCCATTTCCAGGACTCAAGTCTGGCTAACCGGTTTCCCTTCACAAAATATTACCCTGCTCACACTCCAACAGCTTGTCAGGTCCCAAAAACCATTTGTCTCCATTCACTATCTATCACACTCACGCATGCTTCCTGGAAGTCCAAGCCACTCACCCACAAAACCTCCTTTAACCCCTCCCTCCAACCTTTCCTACGAAGACCCCTACCCCACCCTCCTTCCCCTACAGATTTATACTCTCTCCAAATCATTCTACTTTGTTCCATTCTCTCTAAATGACCAAACCACCTCAACAACTCCTCTTCAGCCCTCTCGTTAATACTTATAGTAACTCCACACCTCCTAATTTCCACATTACGAATTCTCTGCATAATATTTACATGACACATTGCTCTTACACACGATATCTCCACTGCCTCCAGCTGCCTCCTCGCTGCAGCATTTACAACCCAAGCTTCACACCCATATAAGAGTGTTGGTACCACTATAATCTCATACATTTCCTTCTTTGACTCCATGGATAACGGCTTTTGTCTCCACAGATACCTCAATGCACCACTCATGTTTTATCCTTCATCAATTCTATGGTTAAACTCATTCTTCATAAACCCATCTGCTGACAGGTCGACTCCCAAATATCTGAACACATTCACTTCTTCCATATTCCCTCCCTCCAATGTGATATCCAATTTTTCTTTATCTAAATTGTTTGATACCCTCATCACCTTACTCTTATCTATGTTCACTTCAACTTTCTACCTTTACATACCCGCCCAAACTCGTCCACTAACCTTTGTAACTTTTCTTTAGAATCTCCCAAAAGCACAGCATCATCAGCAAAAAGTAACTGTATCAACTCTCATTTTGTATTTGATTCCCCACAATTTAATCGCAACCCTCTCCTCAACACCCTAGCATTTCTTCCAAAACCTCATCTATAAATACGTTAAACAACCATGGTGACATTACACATCCTTGTCTAAGACCTACTTTTACTGGGAAGTAGTCTCCCTCTCTCCTATACACCCTAGCCTGAGCCTCACTATCCCCTTAAAAACTCTTTACAGCATTTAGTAACTTACTACCTAATCCATACACTTGTAACATCTGCCACACTGCTCCCTTATCCACCCTATCATATTTTTTTTTTTTTTAACAAGTCAGACGTCTCCCACCAAGGCAGGGTGACCCAAAAAGAAAGAAAATCCCAAAAGGAAAATACTTTCATCATCATTCAACACTGGAGATGGGAAGTACAGTGCCTGCACTCTGAAGGAGGGGTGTTAATGTTGCAGTTTAAAAACTGTAGTGTAAAGCACCCTTCTGGCAAGACAGTGATGGAGTGAATGATGGTGAAAGTTTTTCTTTTTCGGGCCACCCTGCCTTGGTGGGAATCGGCCAGTGTGATAATAAAATATATATATCAACACTTTCACCTCACTCACACATAATCACTGTTTTTGCAGAGGTGCTCAGAACACACAGTTTAGAAGCATATAGTTTGGGAAGCGATGTAGTGGAGGCAGGATCCATACATAGCTTTAAGCTTGGAATCGACCCCTGCAACCACAACTAGGTGTGTACAGCTAGGTGAGTACAACATATCCCTCCAAACTGCCAATATCCCGAACCCCTCCTTTAGAGTGCAGGCATTGTACTTCCCATATCATATGTCTTTTCTAAATCCAGAAATGCAATGAAAACTTCCCTACCTTTATCTAAATACTGTTCACATATATGCTTCAATGTAAACATTTAATCTACACATCCCCTACCCATTCTAAAGCCTCCTGTTCATCTGCAATCCTGCTCTCTGTCTTACCTCTAATTCTTTCAATAACTCTACCATACACTTTACCTGGTAAAGGTTAGCCATCACTTATCCGGCAATCAGTAATCTGGTTCCATTAGTAATCCAGTAAAAATTTTGATTAGCATAATTTCAAATTTCTGGGGCTGCCACACCAACCTGCTGCTACCGTTTGGTGGTGCTACTTGCTGCGTAAGTCATTCCAATTTTTTTTTTCTCCATTTATTGTTATAACCTGCTCACTTTTAGCCTTAGCCATGGTTCCAGCCAATAAAAAAAATGCTTCTTGTTGTGTAAAGTGCATACACCACAGATTGTCCATAAAAGATAGGGTAGTTTTGAAGCCACTGTCGGTCGTCACGAGCTCAGCTCACTCAGATAAGCTGTGACCGGAATACTTGGGACTACATACGAGAGAATAGGTCTGTGTTGTAAGTGTGCACTATATAAAAAAAATCCTGCACCACACAGTGCATATTGAGAAAAAAGGCAGCTCTGCTTTTGGTATAAAACAGTAACTTTGAAGTGTATTTTTGTATTGATTGTAAGGTTGTATTCTTGTTTTTCTGGTTTCATTTGATAGAATGAAAGTTATGTTACAGAAATAGATATAATTTTGATTGGTTTCATGCTGGAAAAGTACCTTAAAATTTAGCTCAATGTAGCAGAAATGTTCAATTTTTGCCGATGTTAGGAGTAAACAAATGACGTTACCATTCAATATGTGTCCAACTGGCTGGTCTAATATGCAGTCATGAATAGGTTGACATTATTTGTACAATTATTACAATAATGAAGCAGTCTGTATTACAGTAAATCCTCTATTTGTTGAGTGAATAAAATTTCAAAATAGAAAGCAAGTATAATATAATAGGGGCCTGGAGATGTAACTAACGAATTACAGAAAATATCTACCTGGACGATGACTAACAAACTTATTCTAAACATTGACAAACTCTACTTCATTCAGTTTGGTAACAGAGCTACAGATGTCCCTCTTAACATAATGATAAACGGATCACCTATCACAAAGCTCACAGATTGAAAATTCTTAGGAATCCACCTTGATAACTGACTCAAATTTCAAAC